TGGCTATGTCTGTCTGTCTGTCATTGTTTCTCATGTTCATTTTATTCTTACTATCACGCACGATCGCACACACCGAATAATTTCATGAAAACCAACATGCGAAATTAACAATGCAGGAAGAAAACGTGTTATTTGTTTACAAAGAAAATAATACTGATGGACGATCACTATGGTCTTTAGCTCCTTCAACAGGAAAGGAGCTTGCGACTTACACAGATGCGCCACCTGTGCAGCCAACTACGGCAACAAAATATCCGTTTGCTACTTAACCCCTTATAGAGACGTGAAACCTGACATTTAACACTTTTAAAGAATAAAACATTTTTTATTTTTTATTTTTTTTGGTACTTAGCCCCTTATTTCAGTCTAATCTTCAATTATGTTTTTAAAAAAGGAAATCATTATATATCATCACTATTTCAACTACCGTCATCATTCTGCATTTTTAGTGAAGAATTTAAAAAGTAACATGTTCCTTTTGGAACCGCGTTTTGAACCTATTACCTAGGTGAACCTGCAAAACAACCGTTTATCACACTTGTACTATATCACTGTGTGTAGGTATGCAGCATGCACCCATATGTTACATAATGGGACTCGCGTCAAGTGGTAACTCCAATGTTCATGTGGCTGCAAATCACGACAGCTCTGGCGCCGGAGAATGGCGCGCAGTTTCAAAATTTACATTTAGGGCCGTAATGTGTTTTTGTAAAACAAATTGAAGGTGCATATTTAAATAAATTTCATTTAGCATGTTGACAATTGTGGCGCTGTATTTCTTTATCATCATGGTTTCTGTGCGAAAGCAGCAGTTTTTTTAAATAATTCGAGCAAATAAGATGTTATTAAGTTTGCTTATGTTTATTTCGTATTTAATAAACTAATTTTGTTTAGAACGACATTGTAAAACTAAGCTTCTAAATGCCTACATAGATATTGCACATGCAGTCTGTATACCGTCTTTGCTAAAAAATAAAAAATTTCGTGTTGGCAATCCGGATGCTGTTGCCGAATATATTTTCAGCATCGGCAATATTTTTACTTACATTTTGGACACACATTTTAGTCTGTAGTTGGATGAATTGTTAGTTAAGAGTAGTGCCAAGGTAATCGTATTTGAAAGTTTTTTATTTCTTTCAACTCAATACTGTTCAAATATAGAAAAAGAGACATGTTATTATGGAAGATTTAGAGCATAATTTCAAAGTGGTATTTGAAAAGGACCGTCTTTTCCAACACGATCTAGTCTAAGAGCCCACTTAAAGAAATTTCAACCAGGTAAGTTTTTGATGTAATACATTTTTTTAGTTTTTTTCATGTTTGTTGTGCTTAACCCAGATAGCATTTGACTTTCTGTGAATATCTCCGAATGTTCAAAAAATATTCAAAACATCGCGAGAATATCCCGGGAATATACCTGGCTGAATATTCATAATATTAATTTTCTGTAGAATATACATATACAGGGTGATTCAGAATTGGCGTCCTTCCTCTGGAGGTGTTGTCTGGCGATGTGTTAGGAGTACAAAAAAAATAGTTTAAAAAAATAATTGTTATTAAATACTCAGAAATTTGCAAAAAAACGATATCAAAAAGAGTGCAACAATGTTTTTCAATGGAATCTGCCTAATTAACATTACAAAAATACCTGTCGCTTCGTAATTATTAAAAACTCCGGTAACTATGGAATTATACAGGGTGACAATAAAATAGACAAGGATAAACGGTGAATGCAACAGGATTTGTTAACAGTGGAACGTACTTCGAAATGTCAACTCTCATGTTAGTCGAACCATTCTTATGACCTCGAAATATGTTTACAAATAAAATTACATGTGAGTGCTGATGTCGAAACAAGTTAGTGCCTCTGCAATCTCCTCATTATCCACGGTTATCGAGCAGCTTCTCGTATTGGATAATTAACTCCTCAGTTTGTACCAGTGCTCATTAATCCAATGGTATAATCTGTCCTTGTGCTGTGTGTATCTTACATACGTGATAGAAATTGTAGCCCTTCCTCGTATTTATCTGGTGCCTGGAAAAGTGTCAGTTGTGAAATATTCTGGGACCCCATGAAAGGCTCTTCTGCAATTATGCTCAATGCTTGTTCCTCTGTGTATGGAACCCGAACATCTATTGTCATCCACTATCTTCCTGGAACCACTCTCGTCGGCCTTTGTTGGCGTAAGTTCTTAGAGCTTCTGCTATCTTATTTTTACATTTCCCGAAAACTAAACGCATATCGGCAAATTCGTGAAAGCAGCTTCAAAGTAAGTCGCAGTTTGACAAATTATTGTTATTATTGACAAGGGCGATCCGTATTTTCGATATATTTTCTGTAACTATTTGTTAATGCCAAAAAACATCATTGCCGTTTTGACTTTTCCCCAAAAAATTGTAGAAGAGAACTTTTTGAATATCAAAAATTTTTGTAATCTGAAGCAAAGATAGTAAGTTTAAATTTTGAATGCTTAAGTATTCCAATATGCTACAAACCAAACATGAAACAATTTCAAAATAGTGCTTTCTAGCACAATTTAAACAAAGTTGTAATTCGATTTTTAATTGTTAAAATCGTCTAGAAATTGTCGAAAAAAAAATGTGAATATTTTTCTCGAACTCTATAAGTGAGCCCCGATTAACCTTTAAAAGGAATGACGCCAATTTTGAATCACCCTGTATGTATATTCATGAAAGTTCATAAAAGGTATGTGCTAAGTATGTACATATTATGTATATGTGCAGATGATTATACCTAGTATGTTCAAAACAAATGTTCGGGTAATATACATGAATGTCGTATATCGACTGTATATTTGCATATACTATGGATATTTGTTTTTGTATGTATTTATCAAAACTGCAAACATAACGATTCAAATATGAAATAATTAATCGTCCTAGTTTTTCAAGACAAGTTAACATCAACTTGTTCGAAGCGGATCAACCAGCAACAAACTTACTATAAAAGTTTCACGTTGGCATAATTTCGATACAAATTTTATAGCAACTTACAATATTTTCAAAGTTTCAAAGGTTTCCGATTTTTGTGGAAGATGAGTAGGTAAGAATGTCAAAAATAAAAAAAATGCTTTCCATGAAGCGAGAACCGGAGAGAGAGACGAGGAAAAACCGAAACCAAAAATTGTCTTCCTGATTTCCACCATCGTCAAGAGAGACTATTTTGTCTGCAGTTTTAGATTTATCTACCCGATTGGAGATTCCCAGAAATATATTCAACTGCCTCCAGTATCCTGAGTGGGGAGTCTTTCCACTGAAATTGTGGATCGGATGGACCGGGGCAGTCTGGATAAAAATGGGTAAAACTGGTATATGACAGCACGTTGAAAAGTGGAAAAAGTTGTAATGCACGTCCCGCTGATTAAACTTACGCATGGAGTGAACTTTTTTAATGTTACAAAGATAGTATCTGTTTTAAAATTTACCCTGTATAACAGATAAATTTGAAAACATATATTCTCTTTACCACATTAAAAAAGTTATGTCATATGCGTATACTTGTGCTTGTTCAGTGAATGTCCATGTGTATGTTCAGTCAATGTACATGTGTTTGTTCGGGGAATGTAGATGGTATGTTCTATGAATATACATGTGTATGTGTGATAAATGTGGAAATATACGTTCAGTGGTTTAACTCTGAGACATTTCTGGAACATACCTGGAACGTTCATAATGGTTCTGATGTATGTACGACGAACATTCATGTTCATCAAATGAATGCTCCAGGTATTTGCGGGGAATAACATAATGAAATATGGGAAGCGACAAATCAAATAATTTGCTATTTTAGGAAAACTGGATGAGTTAGCTCCGAAAAAAACTTATAATATCTATGCTATCTGCGATAAATGCAAGAAATTAGTATCAAAATATTCCAGCTTGAATCAGTATCTGAGCAAATTTTACACATCACATATGATTATTAATTTTAGATATCTGTCAATGTATGAATGAAATGTATATACAGGGGAGCTTTTTCGAAGACCAGTACAGAAATATTCGAAACTATAGCAGTTATAAAAATAGTTAAATGGACAAAAAATTGTGGTTTTGAATGCCCTACTCGAAACCAAATTAACATAAGATGGCTTAAAGCATTTCTCCAAAATAACTGTCTCATTTTTGACATATGACAATGTTGAAACCATTGCACATTACGGCATCTTCCTAAATCTAAGTCGTCCAACATAAAATCCAGGATATTGCGAAGGAATTGAAGATACCGACTCCCCTTTAAGGTGCCTTCAAAAATAAGTGGTCCAAATGTTGTATCTTATGTTATATCTGAGTAGCAAATTTTAATGCCCATAAAAGGACGCATCAGACGGAAAAAGTTTCTCTCTGTAGGTCGAACCAAATTAAAGTGTCCTATATGCAAATACGAAGATAATTTAAAACCTACGTTACTTCATCGTTTTGAAGAAAAATGTGAAATAGCTCCACTCGAAGCATTACTAAATGCCATTATGCCATGCCAAGTGCAGGGTAGCAGATTTCTAAACGTCGTAGGGAAAGACACAACACAAAACAAAAGTGTATAAACAAAAGTGAATATTTTCAGTAAAAGAAACTTCATTAAAGGGAAGCTAGTGGTGTGATTCAAATCCAAATTACAGCTAACATATAAGAACAATTTAAACAAAAACTGAAGTATTATATTCAATTAATTATACTCCTTCTTCAAGTATCACGAAATGTAAACTTTGAAACTGCGCACCATTCGCCGGGGCCAGAGCTGTCGGGATTTGCGAGCACATAAACATTGGGGTTGCCACTACACGCGAATCAAAAGCGAGTGCCTTAAAATAATATAGGGAGATCGGTTGGGCTTTCAGCCAACCAACCCACGAAATTTGGCTTTTAAATTTAAAACAGCTAATGATATAACTTGTTCCGGAAACACCTGTTATTACACTTTTTTTAAACAATTGATATTCGTCCGAAAAGCACGTTAATCTCCCCGTCTCCCGTCATCTCACCTTAAGGCTTTATATTTACTGATCTCGTTAGGAAAAATTTTCTCCAATTCCACTATCAAGCTTTTTTTTAATTTTTGGTAAGCATCGATTTTTCCTTTAACTTGTTCATTTTTGGCCAAAGCTTTTTCAATACAATTCTTGGTATACAGTTTGGGATTACGACCCTGGTCAATATAACTACAGAATTTGCAAAAAAATACATTAATTTATCAATCAATTACAAATAACGTTAACTTACTTACTCTAATACCTCTGGTGGAACTTGCACATCTTGAAATTGGGATTTCAACTTATCCACCTCCTGTAATCCATGTACCATTGTCTGTCTGGAATTTAAGAACAAAGATTATTTCAACGAGTCAGTAATATTATGTTAATAATTGTTTAATATATATGTCCTTACAATTTTTGATTAAGCGCATTCTGGCTTTGGGGTTGAAAATCGCTAACTATTATATGCATCTGACGAGCATTTTCAATAAGCATTTTTAACTGAGTCTCCAAATTTTTGAAAGATGAAGCCATATTTAGTAAAGGTAAATAAATCCTTCTATCAATATCTAGTACAATTTACCAGTAAGTAAACGAATAATGCAGGATTTATGCAGGAAGAAACAAAGGTAAACAACGTCCTTAGCTCGGTAATGGAGAAATCGCCACTAACGCTTGTCGACTGTAGAGATGATACGAAATACTTGTCACAGGTATTTTGGAACAGGTATCGATACGGAACAGTCGGTACCTGTTATCGATATTTAAAATAATATGTGATTTGGGCAGATTTGAAAAAGGCAAATACTTGCCTTTGTTCCTTTTGGTTCCCCGCGGCGTTGTATATTGGCCTGAGTTTTAGTGAAGAGAGATATTTTATTCTTGTGTTGTGGTAAGTTTTTGTATGTATGGGAGTGGCACGTGGGACCTGATGATTTTCGAATCCATGCACCCCCGTGATTCGGCAAATAGCAATATTCAATAGGCAGAAAATATCGGAAAGAGTAGTAACAGCCGTCTCCGATATTTTCTTTAATATGGCCAGGCCTGTGAGTCACAGACTGTGACTGACCGACTGTTTTTTTCGGAATTCTGAGCTGTTTCTTATCCTTGAAACTTGTTCTATTTCGACCAATAGCAGTGCTTCTGAAATACAATAGAATTTGTTACATCTGCCCAGTGGAGTAGTGGTCGAAGTATATTTAAATTTGTATAGGCGCTATTTACCTAGTCAGAACAAGTTTCAATATTTGTTCATATCAAGCATAGCTGAAGTATTAAATTGCCAATTATCATTTAAGCGATAAGATGAATTGTAATAAGTGATTAGCATGAAAATAGAAGATAGGCAAAAAATTTTCACTTTTACTACCCTTAAGCGGAAAATTTAAAAAATGTAGTCACCTTTTTTTGTGTTCAAATAAAGTTTCGATAAAATGGTAAAACGTTACTCATAGAAAATGTTATGACTTTTTTTTGACCATCAGCCCTTGCATACATAAAGGAACCAAAGGCATTCGGTCTTCGGTCATAATTTATTGCTGATCCACCAGATTCGCACCCAAATTACTAGGAAGTGACGTCGATATCCTTCAATGGAATAAATTAGTGCACTCGGATTGGATTATGTTTTTTTCCGGGCAATAAATAGGTAAAATTATTATTTTAAATTTTTTATAATTAATTTGGTTGTGCTTCAAAAAGTCTCACTATAACTTTTTTTAAATGCTTGTATATTTTATAAGTGGTATAAATTTTAGTTTAAAATATTCATAACTTTTTATTCATTCCTATTTCTTATGTAAAAAGGGCTCATGCCAGATTCTAAATACATTTTTCTTGAGACGTGGGAGACACTTCTCCAAGGCGATATATTTTACTCGTAAAAAGTTATACTACAACGTACAATAAATGAAAATTTTATAACTGACAAGCAAAACTAAATTAATTATTAAAAATTAACAAAACGCTGAAATCGACTTTGGTTTTTCGATTTTTAAGTAAACTAATGAACGGATTTTAATTTAGTTTATCTGATATCATAGGTGTTTTTAATACTTGAAAAAAGGGATAAAACCTTTTTCAATAGCATCATCGGTTCAACAGTTATGCACAAAAAACGGGCTTTTGCACTTTCTTTATAAATACTTGTTCAGTAGCAATGTTCCACAGCCGGAAATCGAGCACAAACTATTGTTTCAATGTTCTGATATTCTTCCGAACAACTTCCAATAATCTTTTACCTTCATATCTTAGTGCCCGAAACAGGCCTTTTAAAGTCTAATCCGACTGGCCTCAAAATACGCTTCAGCCTGGTTTCAGGTATAAACCAATATTTATTATGGGCCAAAATAACATGTGCCAAAAAATCACAGATACTCGGAATAGGTACGAGCTTGGGACAGTCGAACTTCATAACGCCCTTCTTGATCCGTAATTATGGTTTGCCGAAAAAAATCTTTGGCTGCCATTTCAGTTTCTTCCCTGTTCTGTTTCTCGATAGGATCTTGGATACCCAGAACGTCTTGACAAGCAGATTCAATGTAGTTACCACTGTATTAGAGCGTGATTGACAATCTGGTATCTTTCCCATTAATATCCATCCAAAATGAGTTTCGAAAGCGATTAATCCACAGGCCGACACCTGCCACGTCTGCTCCCGATAATAATTCAATTGGGCCATATTGGGAAGAATCGGATACTTCTATCCTATAATCTTTAATCTCCTTGAGCCATGGTCCAGACAACATAGGAATTATATCGGCACATATGGTGGGCTGCTCCAAAACTTCAAATTTGTATGAAAATCTTTCTTTATAGATTGTAATGTCATAACATTCATGGCAATTAATAGCTTCTGCACCACCAAATAAGCAGTGCCTCA